GGTATTCTTGTATATAAGACCGCCAAGAAGTGACGGCAACAATGTAATTGAATTGCAGACAGAGATAGAGACGACAATTGAGTCAAGCGCGTGAATCGTTCGTTCGTTGTGAATTCTAGCGTTTGTTTAATTTATAGCGTGACTGTGGAAATTAAGTGAATTGCAAAGTTGTATTGAGAAAGAATAAACTAACTTTATTTAAGAAAGGACTTGTATCGCTAAAGTTTCTTCAGAAAGAATTTTTACGGAAGATTAACTAACGACCAAAGACGTAACAATATACTTCCTATTTGTTGTGGAAAACGATGCTACCTACATTGGTTTAAATAATTGTTAGTACGTTATAGACAATAGTTCTTCTAAGTTAGAATTTAGCGACATTCATGTTATTCATAGAGGTCTACCGCATTGTTTTACGTGTGTAAAATAAACTCATAACTGTTTTTATCGTTGGGTGGGTTATTTTATATTATATCGTAAGAATAATGCAAACTCCAGTCCACGTAACTATAACAAATTATGTTACTATGGGCCCTAGCCCCGAATCTTTTAAGCACCTAGCGACGCCTCTGTGTGTAATTCAAGGTTAATTGATTAAGTAACTGAATGTACACAATAACTAACACTTATCTGAATCTTTCACTTTGACTGGCACTCTACTAGTTTAAAACTGATTCAATACCCAAATAAATCTTTTTCGTATATATATATATATAATGTAACCTTGTTTTTAGATACTTCGAAAATTCTCAGGATCACTAACATTCACGAATATTCTAAGTTTTATTCTAACATTAATTTCATAAACTTACTTGATCTTAACGTCATACTCTCTCTAGCTAACATTTAAGTTAAAACAATATATAGCTTACAACACTATAATTTTTTAATTACACCAAATATTAGAACGTACAGGTGCAATTCTAAATCAATGCTAAGATCTAGAGTGTGTCAACGTAACTGGAAAATCATTATTGATTTATCTTTTATCTCTTCCGTGTATTCAAATAAATCATTTTAGTATTTAGCGTTGAAAGAAAGGTTGTTGTTAGATTACTTTATTAACTGTAGAGATCAGTGAAGTTGGCACAAAAATCCAACAGTGATTTTCTTTCCTTCTTTTAGAGGGCTCTCTTAGTTCTGCTTCAAGCCAGTCTAGTGGTCTCAGCGAAATTAGCAGTGTGGCGGCATCTAGTGGTGCTGGTGGGCAGAAAGATTATGGTGGACTGGATTTCAAGATTATTGTGGATATTAAGAACGGCCCGCCGGTCACCATTCACCTGGTAGCTCCAACAATGCAAGAGAAAGCGGCATGGACCAGCGATATCAGTCAGGTGAATTAGACGTAGAGTAATGGTTTTAAAGGAAATTACGTCAGTATTACGTCAAAGTGATGGAACTCTCACAATGTAGGGAAGAAAGCTTCTGTATCGACCCTGCTGAACCAGCAGTCACCGTTATCCGCAGCATCAAAGCATATGCTCCCGTTACTAAACGGTTACCTGTGTTCGGTAGAACAAGAATAATGTTTTTAATCTTGTTATTTTTGAAAGATTCATTATTCAGCACGATAGCAGCTGTTTCATGTTGAAATGATTATTTATCAGCTGTTTTAAATTAATAAGTAGATCTTGGATTTTCATGAATGAGTATTTTATATAAAGGCTTTCTTACTCTTAGTAAGTTTTTCAATAAACATATCTATCGAAGATGTAAGTAATATCTGAGTTTTAATCACACAAAATAAGATAATACTTTTGAGGAATTGTATGATTTACTGTGTTTTTTTTCTAGTGTATTGACAACGTACATTTCAACGATTTGTTTCATGGAACGATGAGTGACTCTTCGTCAGTGACTATGCCCCATTCTATAAGGTAAGACGATTTCTTTTTTCTATAAAATACAGCAGATAGTGACATAGCCTCCTAAGTATTTTTAGGCCTAACTCTTCTTAGGTTCGAACTTGAGTGTCTCAGTCTAATGTAACCGTTCGTATATAATATGCTAACATAAAATAAAAAAGGAACAAAACAATGGTAATATTGGAAAAGTATTGTTACGAAATACGTTTGTTTAAGCTCACAGATATACGATAGGCTCTCTGCGCTGTGCCAAATTAGGGATCGAACCCATTATGTTGTAGCGTTATATACCCTCAGGCTTATCGCTGAGCCACTATGCCTTGATTAGGTTTACTTTTTCTGAGTTTTCCTATAACTTTCAATACATAAAAACCACTGTTAAATGTCGTGCAACTTTTGAACACATAAGATAGCTTTAGGTTTAACACATATTTATGAGGCGTATTAATAATTCTGATAAAGGTTAAATTTGATTATAAATGTCCAAAAATTAGTTTGAATTTAGAGGAGGAATCACATAATCACAATTGATATTAAAATACAGCGTGTAATACTGATTTTATTATTCCATTATTACTATAAATAAGTTAAATAATTTCTGTTATTTTTCATCCCCGTTAACTGAATGTTAGGCATTTTTTAAAATTATGGTTAAATGTACAATAAAGCTTCCAGTATAATGCTGTAAGTATAGTCAATAATGGATCCCCAAAGAATTCGGAGTCCATTAAGAACAAATTTTCTTTAGTATTACTGACACTCACAAGATGGTGCTGTAAGAGCTTTAGTTTGTTATTAGGCATAAAGCTACACAATGAGCCAGCTATTTTTGCTGTGACCACTGCGTGCATCGAAACCCAATTTTAAGCGATATAACCCTACAGTCTTACCAATGATCCACCAGGGGCGCTGTAACAGCAAGGACATAATAATAACAAGTGTACAGAACTTTCTGTATTGTATTCGCTGAAAAGTTAGTATCTTAATATAGAAAGTAAAGTAGCTGTTCCTCAAAAATGTTGATAAAAAGTGAAGTAAAGCTATTTGTTATAAACTGTCGTAATTGCTCTAATTTACATTCCCAGAATGACGAGTTCATTGTCTATTTTATGAAGTGGTTGTATACAATAAACATGAATCCCATTTTAAAGCCCCTCCAGTGGCTCAGCGGTAAGTTCGTATGCTTATAACGCTAAAAAGCAGGTTTCAGTGCCTGTGGTGGGCACAATACAGATAGCCCATTGTGTAGCTTTGTACTTAGCTTCAAACAAACAAAAACCACTTTCAGGTTCTCTTGTAAGAAGCTGCAACATTTCTGATAAAAAATCACACAGACTGCAGATATTTTCCTCACATACCTCTAAACTTGTCCGTATTTCAAATGCTTATACTTTTACATATCTCTGACGTGAAATCCGAAATTTACTAATTAATTAAGAGGAATGCGAAATAAAAATCTCCAGTCTAATCCAGTCCAATCGTTGTTATTACAAATGGTGGGTTTGTTGGTTTTCAAATCTTGTCGTGGTCGGTATTCGGTCATGTTGTTGTTACGTCTCTGGTCGTTTGTTAATTTCCTGTAAAAATTCCTTCCGAAAAACTTCAGCAATACAAATCCTTCCTTAAATAAAACTAATTTATTCTTTCTCAATACAACTTTGCAATACACTTAATTTCCACAGTCACTTTAACTTAAACACACGCTATAATTCACAATGATTTACACACTTTGCTTACGGCTTGACTCGATTATCTGTCTCTATCTCCCTGTCTGCTATTCAATTATCTATGCCGTCACTTCTCGCCGGTCTTATATATACAAAATAGAGGGCTTCTGCCAAACACTCTAGCCTTCAGGAACGTTCTAGATACTCATTATGTGTTACCAGCATCACGTGAATTCCGCTGTTGTAACATTGTGTTAAATGTTCCGCCAACATCTAGCGTTAAACCTTGATAAGAATAACGTAGCAATGTTACTGTAATACTATAATGTGAAGTTTTATAGACATATCTGTATTCTCCAGCTGTACTTGAATTAACAAAGTAAAGACACGTTTATATTTACATATATATTCATTAACAATATATTTTGTATATTTCTTTGATATTTTCATTAACTTACTATCTTATACCTCCGAAATCACGTTTCAAGGTTCTTAAGTTATAGCGTTGGTACTCTGCGCATTACTTATTTGACAGGCTATTGGAATTTATTGTATCTGATATAAAAAAAAGTCAACAGTTAATGACAGATTTGTAATCTTAAAGCGTATTACGATACTTAACTCTTAAAATATTTCTTCTGTAAAATGAACAAGGAAAGCTAACTAATTAATACTTTCATTTGTAAGTTAATTTAGCGGTTTCATTTTTAAGTTAGTCTGAGTTTCATTTTTTAAGTTGATCATACAGTTTCGCTTTTAAGTTTAAGTTAGTGTTACGGTTTCGTTTTTAATTTAGTCTTATGATTTTGTGTTAAAGTTAGTCTCGTAGTTTAGTATAACTATAACTTTAGTTTCCCTTTTAAGTTTGTTCCATACTTTCATTTTCAAGTTAGCCTCATAATTTTCATTAAAGTAAGTCTCATAGCATTGTTTTTAAGTTAATCTCAAATAGTTTCATTTTGAAGTTTGTTTCTGTTTCACCTCCAATTTTTATGAACATTCATAAAATGAAGTCTCTCAGAAGCTGTGGAGTAAGTATAAAACTTTAATTTTAAACCAATAAAAGAAACTCGTGTGACATCAAAATGTTCTTTTGTACAGAATTAATGGTTGACTAATTATCGTAAATTATATAAAATAAGAGAAATATCAAAACGATGATTGTTAACTTTGCTGTTAGTGTAGCATACATGCACTTTATCCGATAACCTGTATAATGTATTATTATTAATGTATAACATTCGTATGACACTTACTTACAAACATTTGCACCAGTAGCAAATTGTCTATGAGATAATGAGGCTTCTTTGTTTTATTTCTCTAGAAATGATCCTCGACTTTTTAAAGATGATGCAGACATCCGTTTTAGCCGTACTCTGAACTCGTGCAAGTTACCACAGGTTAGTTTTCTGTGTTACAGTAGAATCGCGGGTTCAAATCCTGCTTCATTTCAGTTTTACTTCGTTATTCATATGGTATGGTTATTTTACTTAACACTCACACAGTAAGCAGACACTACTGTATTAACATTAGGCTGCTTCTAGTTATGGATCTGAAAGCTGACTTTGATAAACATAATTGAATATGTAAATGTTTTTTCCAGTGTCTGAGTAATATGTACATATATATATATATATATATATATATATACACACATTATAAGCCTGAAAAATATTTAAAAAAGTTCATGGCTTGGTTTCTGTTTATAAAACAGATTTGAAAAGCAGTTTTTGTTCATTAACATTGTTTTTTTTAGCTGTTTAACAATAGATTTAGGTTAATGACATGGTTTATAAGACAGGTTTATAACAGAACTTAGTTTTGTCATGCTCAAAGCTTTATTTGTATTAATAAAACAAGTAGATGTTGATGTTTTATTTTTCCAAAAAGTGTAGGCTAGGATGACTTTTGTGTAATAGATAAGGAAGTGTAATTTGTATTTATGTTTAAAACACATATGTTTCACTGTTTAGTTTTGGGTCTTGTAGGCTTAGCTTCTGTTTATAAACCGTTGAAGTTTACCTATGTTCACTAAATTCAGAATGTTTTAGCAACAACGTAGGGTCTTGTATATGATGCTTATGAAACAGGTAACAGAGTTTGTTTCTGTTTATTTACAAATTTAGTTTTATTAACCAAAATATTTTGGATTTGGGTGTTTATTTATCTATTAGAATATGTCTTGTTAAAGTAAAAAGTGTGAAAGTTTTAAATCCTCATCATTCACACATTTTTGTTTTGTCGATCAGATACGCTATGCCAGTCCTGAAAGATTGTTTGAGAGGTTGACTGACCTACGGTTCCTTAGCATTGACTTTCTGAACACATTTCTCCTTACGTATCGAGTATTCACTGATGCTGTTACTGTGCTGAAAGCTCTTAAGAAGGTCCACTACAACCCTGAACTTCAGTTGAACATGCTGGGATCATCACTACAGGACTCTACGGGGTATGATAGACTTTGGATTAAACTATTATCTTTTGACTGGTAGGTCAATGAACTATATTCTATCAGTTTTTTTTTATGAAAATGAAGTTTACAGGTAGGCTAGTAAATGTATGAATGAAAACAGATATAAAGGAAAATATTTTTTTATTTCTAAAACCTACATTTCATTACTCTCATCAGGAATACATTGGTGCCAGTACTCTGGGTCCATGGGATTATCATTCAGAAACATGGATCTGGTAGTTGGACATTCCTTTCTATACCTTACCTAAATGAACCTGCACTGTCGTTTCCTAAATATAATCTAGATAAGCATATCCATTTTTATCCCTAATATTTTCAAGTCGCGAGTCTTGTGTTCATCTTACTAGTCAGACAGTATTTAATGTTGATATATTTAGATGATGTTTTGATATAGCAGGATATCTGTAGGTTTGTTGTATCCCTAACGTTACCAAGGTACACTTGACCTTTAGTATTCCTAATGCTATCTGGATATACATGACATAACTTTGATAAACAAGTCCTGTTCTATTTGTCAGTTCTTTAGATGCCATACCGGGAGACAGTGGACAGACGGATCTTGGTGTAGTGTATGCCGACTATGATTACACCAGACGTATCAGTACTGCAAGCACAGTTTCTGATGTCAGTGTAACAAGAGAGAGAGAGCTTAGCTTGTCAACTTCAGATGCTTTGTTACAAATCCATCAGTCACAGCAACTTCAGGCCTTCCGAAATCAGCAACATTGGCGTCTTAGCTACAGGAAATGTAAGTTAACATTCTGCAAACTGTACAAGTTATAGCAATGTATATATGTTGAAGTTGTGTAAATTGAACAGGTTATAGCAATGTATATATGTTGAAGTTGTGTAAACTGTACAAGTTATAGCAATGTATATATGTTGAAGTTGTGTAAACTGTACAGGTCATAGCAATGTATATATGTTGATATTCTGTAAACTGTACAGGTCATAGCAATGTATATATGTTGAAGTTGTGTAAACT